TAGTTGCTGATTTATTTATTAAAGAGGTGGTTCGACTACACGGGTTTCCTCGTACCATTGTTTTCGATCGGGATAGAGTCTTCATGAGTAACTTTTGGGGTGAACTGTTTAAACAATCAGGGACCCAATTACACATGACTTCGGCGTACCACCCACAGACCGATGGTCAGACAGAGGTTGTAAACCGTTGTCTGGAAACGTATCTCAGATGTTTTGTCAATGGTCAACCCCGTTCATGGCCAAAATGGGTTCCATGGGCAGAATTTTGGTTCAATACTACGTATAACCGCTCCACCGGCATGTGCCCTTTTAAGGCTCTCTATGGCCGAGAAGCCCCAACAGTGTTGCGTTATTCAGACCACACTTCCGTTGTCAACGAAGTGGACCAGCAACTCCAGCAGCGTAACCAGGTGCTTGATGGGTTAAAAGACCATCTTCTCAAGGCCCAACATCGCATGAAAACTTCTGCGGATACTCATCGCCGAGAAGTTACATTTGAGATAGGGGAATCTGTGTACTTAAAGTTACAGCCATATAGATTACGGTCCCTAGCCCGTCGATATAATGAGAAGCTCAGTCCACGGTTTTATGGCCCATTTGTCATCACAGAAAAAATTGGGGCAATCGCATATAGGCTGGCACTGCCATCCTCAGCACGTATTCATAATATCTTCCATGTGTCGCAACTTAAAAAAAGCTATGTTCCCTATCGCCAACAGTCAGCCTTTACCAGCAGGCCTCAATGAAGACTTCATTCTACAACTTGAACCTGAAACGGTTCTCCAGAAAAGGAAACTCATAAATGGGCAGTGGGAGGTGCTAATTCAATGGAAAGGTTTACCTTCCTTTGAAAATACTTGGGAAGATTTAGAAACTATTCTCAGCCAGTTTCCTTAATTACACCTTGAGGACAAGGTGGTTCTACTTGGGGAGGGTAATGATGAGTAACCAAAGGGGAAGGTTTACCGTAGGAAGAAGTGGAGTAAGAAGCAGGGGAATAAGAGACATTTCGGAGGTTAAAAGATTTGTTAGGAAGGGACAGGTGGCCTATGGAGAGTGGAGAGAGAGAAATTCTGTTATGACTAAACTTAGGGCCAGGAGGGAATAAAAGGGGGGGAAGGGAAAAGGGAGAGGCATTGAGAAAGTAGTTAAGGATTGGGAAGGGAGGTGACTGACCCTCGAAGTTCAGTCTTATCATTTTGTTTATCTTTTGTTCTTAGCTTTATTTGCTGGATTCTCAATTGTTGATTGTTGATTGAACAGAGTCTGGATGTCATATTTCGGATGTACTGTTTGCTGCCATTAATATAGAGATTCCTTGTGTTTATTGTGTTGGGATTGGGTCTGTATCTAGATTGTAGTGTGTTTCATTAAGTTGCAGGTCAGGAACAAATCAAAGACTAATGAGGAAATGAAGGAAATCGACAAGGAAAAGAATCTTACTTGGAATTTTACTGATTAAAAAGGAAATTAAGAAGCTTATTGTAGGTAAGAATCTACAGGATAGTTGATCCTGTTCTCTCCAGTTTGGCAGGTTATCGAAACTGTAAAGTAACTGCTACCAACTGCAGATTAATGTGAAAACGAAAGAAGATGAAAAACAAATCTAACATCGATAGTGCCACACTACAGAATTCCAAGAACCCACAAAAATACATTAATGCAAAAACAAAGTATACTGCATTTTCAAGTTTCTTTTTTGACTAGACTCCTGTCAAAATTACTAAAGAAAAATGGCTGTAGCTAAGCTGATATAGAAATATCAATTATCAGTTTGAATATTTGAAGCCAATCCCCCTATTCTCCCGCTTTCACACACAGATTAAAGACATTGGGCGCCAGGACCTCGAAAACGATCTTACATGAAATAAAGCTAATTGAATGCAGAAGGGTAAATTGTAGAAACCTGAAAGCAAAAGCACCCTTTATTCCCTGTGAACAATTTTTCATGATTATAGGTGATGAGTTACTGATAAAAGAAGAAGAAGAAGAAGACAAACACTAATAATTAAAGAAGAACAGAAAGAATACGTTTAAGTGACGTAAAGGGTTTGAGAATGTTGCTTAAATTTGATGAAAAAGCTGCATTGTTGGATACACAAATATTTAGAATTGAGTTTTGGAATCTAACAATAATGTTGTATCCATGAAAAGTTAATATCAGAGAGTGACAAAGTTGGGTAAAGTTCATCTTTTATGAGAGACCATATGAACTTTTGTAAGAGATATAGCATGCGACCCCAGAAAAGATAAAGGTTTGTATCTTTTCAGTTGAAGCCAGATTGATGAGATTCTTTACTTACATTGTTGTTCCCTTCTTTATTCGCTAGACAACAAGACACTGATGTCAAGTTGGGAGACATGGCTGCCTTTTGTGTGTTGTGTTGTGGGGTAAAAAGTCACTCGGTTTTAGCACATTTTAGATGCTTCAGAAAAACTATTTGTTCATGTGAGTAAACCTATTGTTCTATCTTTTGCCAGTGGTAATGGTTGATGAACAAGAACAAGAGCTTCTTCTTCAAAACTATGTGTTCATCTTCATATTGGATTAATTAAGGTAAAATTGTATCTTACTTTGACATTTTGTATTTCTTCCTTTCTCAATACACAGAGTTTCCCACAACTAAGTTAAGAGAACACACAAGTAAAATGACAAACTTTCTATTGCAAACAGAGATTAAAATCAACTGTATCCCTCTACTTTGTCCACAGCAATGTCAGAAAAAGAACTATTCTTTCAGAATTTAACAAAGAAAGTGGATCAGAACCAAGTCGTTTAACCATGATCCTTGAGTCCAATGCAGATATTCGAAACTGCCATCCCTTGGTTTACTCGCAAGATTCTCAAGGCAATCACTGGCACGTTATAGGCATTTCTTCACTACATTAAATAACATAATGGAGGAGCATCAGTTCCCTCTCTGCTTTGCTCAGGTCATAGAACAAAACTCTACATTAAGGCCTGGGAAATTCACTCTCAGAGTTTTTATGTAGCATTCTGGTAATATGTTCAATGCTCATAAAATGGAAAAATAAAATAAAATTAAAGCTATAAGAAACTATTAAGAGATGAACTGTTTAAAATTTACAGCTGGGATCCATTCACTACAATAGAAACCAAGGAAGTAGAGAAAAAACTAAGGCTCCGTTCGGTTCACAATTTTGTGTTTTTGAGAAAAGTTTTTTAAAAAAAGTTGAATTGGGAGGGTATTACGATGTAGGATTTACAAATTAATAAAATATCTCATATGTTTGTTTTTTTACAAAACACCCCCTATAATAAAACATTAAAAGAGTTTTTGGGTATTTTACTGTTTAACTTTTTTGGGAATACTAAAAGCAGTATTCCCAAAATCCAACCAAATGAAGCCTAAGCCATTCAGCAGATTTTCTGATAGACCACCCATTAGTAAGGTCTACAAGTTGAAAGGCATAATAGNGCAGTGATTTTGGTGAACAATGAGGTGCAACAGACCGTGTCTATAATCCAAGAACTATCAATTGAATGGAGTGTGTTATGTGTGCAGGTAGAGAGACAAAAAGAGGTACTAGAGAGATGAGAATGTGCGAAAGGCTGATTGGCAGAAGTAACATTAGACTGAATCTGATTAGCAGATGGCTGAGCAGCAATAGAGGGCTCCCTTGGCTGGAGTAGAGCTATTAATTATTGATACTGGAACCTTGTTAGACCCACTCTTTCATGACTAACTTCCTCAAGGTTAGAAGCAGGCGATATTATGGACTGAGTAGCAAAAACAGCAGGGTTATGGGGTTTGTTGAAAAGTTTATGGCCTGGTGGGTAGCCATTAGAGCTGGGCATTTGGGACCGGGCCCAAAAGCCCAGCTTGAAAACCCGGTCCTAGGACCGGTCCTCGAGAGGACCAGACTTAGGAGGCCTGGTCCCAAAATGGGACCAGGCCTAAGGAGGAGGGCTCGGGCCCTCCTCCAAGGCCCGGGCCTAGGCCCAAAAAAGTTTGTATTTTTTTAATATAGTCCCCTGCCAAATTACATAAAACCCAATGTTAATTTGAAAATAAATATAAATTAAGAGGGCTAAAAAAAATTTCACAAAATTCATAAAAAAAAAAATCTTCCAGGTCTAAAAAATTTATAAATTTTACCCCTAAAAAATACTAAAAACCCCCCATAAAATTTTATTTTGCCCCCAAAATATAAAAAAAATTGAGGGGGGAAAATTAATTATCCAAGCCCCATGGGACTGGTCCTAGGCCCATAGGACCAGTCCCTACCAGGCCTAAGGCCTGGTCCAGGTCCTAATTTTTCTCATGGGCCTGGGACCGGTCTTAGGCCCGTGAGTGACTGGTCCCATTTGGGACCAGTCCCCAAGGGACCAGTCCCAAACGGGCCCAGGCCTGGGCCTGCTTGGTACCGGTCCCTGCCCACCTCTAGTAGCCATGCAATTTATAACACTTCTCCATTGTGTGTCCAGATAAATGGCAATGGGAGCACACAAGGGCCTCTGCATTTCCAGCTTTGAAACAGGTTTCAAGACTATGGCCTGGAGTTTTACAATGGGTGCAATACGCATGTTCTTTCTTTGGAGAGGGTCGTGACTGAGTTGAGTATTTTGTATATGGGACAAAATGTTTTTTGATGGCTAAGGCCATAGAGTCAAGGGATGGGGAATGGGAAATAAGTTGGTGTTGGTGTTCCTGTTGCTGGATGAGTGAAAAAAATTTGGTGACAGAGGGTAAAAGATCTAGGAGCATTATTTGGTCACGAACATTAGAGTATTTATCATGTACACCCATAAGAAATTGGAACACACAGTCACGTTGATGTCTATCTAATAGTGTTTTCATGGTGCCACAATTACAAGCAAGGATTGGGTCGTATATCGAAAGCTCATCCCATAGAGTTTTTAGCTTACCATAACAGACACTTACAGAGTTATGATCTTGGAGAAGGCTGGCTAGGGTTTTCTTAAGCTGGAAGATGCGTGGGCCATTTTGTTGGGAGAATCGATCCTGAAGGTCCAGCTAGATTTCGCGCGCATCGTCAACGAATACAACGCTGGACATGATAGAGGGATTTATCGAATTTTGGATCCATGACACGATCATGTCGTTGCAACGCTCCCACAGCTCAAGGAGAGGATCTGTTGGGTCAGATGGTTGCGGGATTATACCCGTGATGAAACCCAATTTGTTCTTAGCCTGGAGTGCTCGTTGCATAGCATGCGACCATGTGGCGTAGTTATCGGTGGTGAGTAAATCAGTAACTAGAACCACAACGGGGTTGTTGTCGTTGTCTAGTCGAAAAGGGTTACCGGGGTCACTCAAGTTCAAGTAGCGAGCCATATTGACAGCACGAGGGGTGTTTGAGAAATTGTCTGTGGTACGGGAGGTGTTTGAGGAATTATCTGTATGAGTAGAGGAGGAATCGGCAGAACTTTCTAGATGGTCCTCCATGAGAGGTTGCTCTCAGGCTCTGTATACCATGTAACAAAGCATAGAAGAAAGGGAAAAAGGCTGAGTTGCAGAGAGCATCATGGACGAAGGGGCTGGAAAGTTTCCACTGTCTATTGAATTGATTAAATGCACGATACAAGCAGGTCCTTGTAGACGTAAAAATCTACCTGTACGGAAGGGGGGTCTGATCCCGTGAGGTCAAGGCCACTAGCGATCCGCNGGCATTGAAAAAGTTGAGTAAGGATGGATAGGGGAGGTGACTGACCCTCGAAGTCAGTATTTTATTTCTGTTTTCTTCTGTATTGAGTTTAGCTTATTTACTGATCATCAGTTGGGATTATTGTAGCAGAGTCTGAGTATTTTGAATGTATTGTTTCGTTACCATTAAATATAGAGAATGCTTGATTTGATTGTGAGTGGGATTGGAACTGTAACTAGATTGTAGTGTAATTGATAAGTTGCAGGTCAGGATCTCATCAGTGGTATCAGAGCACTGAGTTCTGGGGTATGGTCTTGACAAGAATGGAGTCTAGAATTGATAACGTGGAAAAAGAAGTTACGAAGTTAGGAGTTAAGATGGGTACTATTTGAGAATGTTTGGTTGAGATACAATCATGGGTGAGAAGAAAGGATAAGGAAGAAGCATGGAGAACTGAGATACGTTCATCGGAAAATCTTCGGTCTCATCAGGAAGAAAATACAGATGGAGCAAACGGGTCTGGCAACAGTAACCAAATCCGTAATGAAGTGACAGGAAGGATGTTGGAAATGCCGATATTCTCCGGTGAAGATCCTTACGGATGGATATTTAGAGTAGAGCGTTACTTCCACCTCAATGGAATAAATGAGGAAGGAAAAATGACAGCAGCAGCTGTCTGTATGGAGGGTGAAGCAATTAATTGGTTCCAGTGGATGGAATCCAGAGCTCCGGCAAGTTCATGGGCTATGTTTAAAATGGCAATACTTAAGAGATTCAGTGGGTCTCAAGAGCTCAACCCGTATGAGTCATTAATGGCCATGAAGCAGACTGGTTCAGTTATGGAGTATCGACGTCAATTTGAAGCTATTGCGGCATTGCTGGTAGGGGAGAAGGAAGAGATATTACAAGCCGCTTTTATCAATGGATTAAAAATTGAAGTAAGGGCTGAAGTCTGTTTAGCCCAGCCCACAACCTTAATGCAAATAATAGACCTGGCCCAACGAATTGAAGAGAGGAATCAAGCAATAGAGGAGGCCCAAATGGGATCAATTAAACCCACACGCATTATGGGGCTTGGACCTTCAAATGGACCCAGACCCATGACCCGATTTGAAAATAGCTCAAACCCCAAATTTCCTGACATGAACAGATTCGAAAATCACATAAACACAAAAATCCCTAACGCGTCTGAACTTCCAAAATCACACCAATCTTCCAACTTCATTCGACGATCGTCGGAAACGTCAGTACAAGGCTCATCATCGACACAGTTCTCCAGTCGTGATTACAACCCATCGACTTTTTGCCCCTATGAACGACATAATTTCCAGAGAAGAGACTTCCCATTTTGAAAAATGACTGACGCAGAGATTCAAAGGAAAAGGGAGAAAGGGCTTTGCTTCAGATGTGACGGTAAGTTCTCGTTTGGGCACAAATGTGGTGAGAAGCAATTTCAGATCATTTTAGTGGATGAAGAGGAGAATGATTCAGACCCGATTGGTGGTGGGGAGTCTGTAGAATCTGAAAAAGAGCAACGACAGGAACAAATTGAGCTTTCTATGAGCTCGGTAGTGGGGATTCATGGCCCAAAAACAATAAAACTCAAAGGAAGAATCCAAGGTAAAGAACTAATTGTGTTGATTGATAGTGGGGCTTCCCACAATTTAATTAGTTCAAAGGTGGTTACAGAATTGGAAATTTCGGTGATGGGAACTCAATCTTTTGGGGTCAAAGTGGGAGATGGATATAGTGTGAGATGTGAAGGGGAATGTAAAAATGTTTGTATGGAGCTACAGGGGATAACAATTATTCAGAATTTTTTTCCATTTGATATGAGCAGTGCAGATGTTGTTCTGGGGATTGCATGGTTGGAAACGTTAGGGGAAACCACCACAGATTGGAGGAAGCAGATCATGAGATTTAAGTTGGACGATCAGATTGTATGTCTACATGGGGACCCATCTCTGAATAAGACCATGGTTTCGCTCAAGGCTATGATCAAGGCTTTACGGAGTGAGGGACAAGGGTGTTTGATTGAGTTTGGTCAGATTCAAAAATAGTGTGATGACAGTGGGGATGTGGATGATCGGATACTGGAAGTGTTACAGATTTTTAATCAAGTGTTTGAGCCACTTTCGGGTTTACCACCTGCCAGGTGCAGAGACCATGCCATTCAGTTAGTTCCAGGGGCTCAGCCACCTAATCTGCGGCTGTATCGGTACCCTTATTGTCAGAAAAACGAAATCGAATGACTTGTCAAGGAAATGTTGGCGTCCGGAATTATTAAACCCAGCATTAGTCCTTTCTCAAGTCCGGTTTTGTTGGTTAAAAAAAAGGATGGAGGGTGGAGGTTCTGTGTGGACTATCGGGCAGTTAACCAGGTGACCATTCCGGACAAATTTTCCATTCCAACCATTGATGAATTATTTGATGAATTGGCAGGCGCGACAGTGTTCTCCAAACTCGATTTGAAGTCCGGTTATCACCAAATCCAAGTAAAACTTTAGGATACACACAAAACTGCCTTTAGGACACATGAAGGCCACTATGAGTTTATGGTAATGCCATTCGGCCTCACCAATGCACCAGCTACTTTCCAAGCAGTGATGAATGAAGTGTTCAAACCGTATTTACGAAAATTTCTACTAGTTTTCTTTGATGATATACTAATATATAGTAAGGAGATGGGCAACCATGTGAAGCACCTCAGCCTTACTCTGCAGATCCTTTTAGACAATCAATTGGTAGTCAATAGAAAAAAATGTAAGTTTGGGCAATCACAGTTCGAATATTTGGGGCATGTGGTCTCAGCTCAGGGTGTTTCGGTTGATCCTTCTAAAATTGAGAGTATCACCAAATGGCCGGAACCGAGAGATGTCAGGGCACTCAAAGGGTTTTTGGGATTGACGGGGTATTATCATCCATTTGTTCGAGATTACGGAAAAATAGGCCTACCACTCACTGCACTATTAAAGAAAGATTCATTTGTGTGGAATACAGCAGCCCAAGGGGCTTTTGAGGAATTAAAAAGAATCATGACCAGTGTTCCTGTTCTTCGGATGTCGAACTTTACGCAAGAGTCTGTGCTGGAGACCGACGCTTCCGGAAGTGGTTTAGGGGCTGTGCTGATGCAAGACGGACGTCTGATTGCTTTTCTCAGCAAAGGTTTGTCTTTAAACTCTAAGTTGAAATCAGTTTATGAAAGGGAATTAATGGCGATTGTACTGGCTGTGCAAAAGTGGCGGCATTATTTGTTGGGTAGGCGTTTTGTGATTCGGACGGACCAGCGTAGTCTTCACTTCCCTACTGAGCAGAAATTATTGAGTGAAAATCAGCAAAATGGGTTATCAAATTGTTGGGTTTAGACTTCATCATTCAGTATAAACCAGGCACTCAGAACATGGCAGCAGATGCCCTTTTGCGGATGCCAGACATAGTAGAACTTCATGTTGTTTCTGTGAGTTACTTTTCGGGACTGGAGGGTTTGGAAGATGCCATTCAAGGTGATGATAAGTTACGGGGCATAATACAACAGCTCTTGACAGACCCCAATAGTTGTCCTCCTTTCAGGTTATTGGGCCACCATCTGCTGTACCATAATAGATTGGTACTGCCAAAATCTGGACCATTTTACAAGAGTTTCACGCATCACCCATCGGGGGCCATTCGGGCTTCTTCCAGACATATAAACGGCTAACAAGTGTGGTATTTTGGGAAGGAATGAAATAGGACATCAAAGAATTTGTGGCCGCTTGCCGGTTTGCCAACAAAGTAAGTATGATGGCATGAGTCCAGCTGGTTTGCTTCAGCCGCTGTCGATTCCCAACCAAGTATGGGAAGACATATCTATGGATTTCATCATGGGGCTTCGGAAAGCTAGTGGGGTTGATACAATTCTGGTCGTAGTTGATCGTTTGACTAAATACAGTCACTTTTTAACTCTCAAACACCCCTACACAGCCAAGATAGTTGTTGATTTGTTTATTAAAGAGGTGGTTCGACTACACGGGTTTCCTCATACCATTGTTTCCGATCGGGATAGAGTCTTCATGAGTAACTTTTGGAGTGAACTGTTTAAACAATCAGGGACCCAATTACACATGAGTTCGGCGTACCAACCACAGACCGATGGTCAGACAGAGGTTGTAAACCGTTGCTTGGAAACGTATCTCAGATGTTTTGTCAATGGTCAACCCCGTTCATGGCCAAAATAGGTTCCATGGGCAGAATTTTGGTTCAATACTACGTATAACCGCTCCACCGGCATGTGTCCTTTTAAGGCTCTCTATGGCCGAGAAGCCCCAACAGTGTTGCGTTATTCAGACCACACTTTCGTTGTCAACGAAGTGGACCAGCACCTCCAGCAGCGCAACCAGGTGCTTGATGAGTTAAAAGACCATGTTCTCAAGGCCCAACATCGCATGAAAACTTCTGCGGATACTCATCGCCGAGAAGTTACGTTTGAGGTAGGGGAATTTGTGTACTTAAAGTTACAGCCATATAGATTATGGTCTCTAGCCCGACGATATAATGAGAAGCTCAGTCCACGGTTTTATGGCCCATTTGTCATCACAGAAAAAATTGGGGCAGTTGCATATAGGCCGGCACTGCCATCCTCAGCACGTATTCATAATGTCTTTCATGTGTCGCAACTTAAAAAAGCTATGTTCCCTATCGCCAATAGTCAGCCTTTACCAGCAGGCCTCAATAAAGACCTCATTCTACAACTTGAACCTGAAACGGTTCTCCAGAAACGGAAACTCATAAATGGGCAGTGGGAGGTGCTAATTCAATGGAAAGG